AGCAAACCTGATAAAACAACATCTGTAGAAAGAGAGATGAAATTATTTGCGGCAACAGGTACAATAACTAATACTTTAAAAAAAAATTATGATTCCATAATGACAATCTGAATGAGTTTTTTCTACTACAAGTAACATTGTTACAAAATAAAAAGTAGGTTTATCAGACCATTCAATTAATGTCTTATGTTTTTTGAAAACTTATTTTAAATAATTGAAATAAAACTTGATGTCTTGTGTTTTTTGAAAACTAATTAAAAAACTTGAAATAAAACTTTCTAAGAATATATAACAATGTTTTTTTTTTTTTTATCATAATTTTCTTTTCAGAAAAAAATGCTTAAAAATGTAATTTTTGACACTTAAAAAATTTCCCGGTTCCCAGGAAATCCCGGAATCTTTCGAATTTTCAATCCCGGATCCCGAGAATGACAAAAAGTCCGGCAAAGGCACCCACTATAAGCAATAGCTTAGTTCTTAAAAGCAGCTTTTTTTAATTAAGTCTCAAGTGACCAATAAATCTCCAACTATAAATTTTTTGTATAAATTTAAATGAACGAGTTTTTCTAACTAAATTTAAATGACTTTTACTTACTGCTTTTATAAAATGGTTCTTATAAATAAATGTCAAACATGCAAACCAAAGCGATGCGTTAAAGGCGCTGAGTTTTATTACACCAAAAAATGCCGCACTAGCGGAAACTTAACTCAACCTCTAGTACCTCTAAACGACTTAACATTACCACAAGAATAAAAAAGTTTTTTTTATTTGATTGATTTTTTTAATCGTTATTATTGATTGCCTTTAGTTTTTTTAATAAAATGTTGCTCTATTTGCGTATTTCATTCTCCCCAAATATTGAATAGAATAATTTTTTTTTTAATCAAATAAAGTTTCATTAAAAACTTAACAAAAAATTTGATAGATTTTTATATATTTAAAACAGCTCAATACTCCTGCAACTTGTAAAAAAAAATGTAAAAAAAAAAATAAAAAAAAAAAGAATTTCGCATTTTTACATGAAAATAAGTATAAGAACCATACTTACAGTAGCCTGCAAACTGGGCTTTAATAAAAACTCCATTTTAAGTTTAGGACTTGTTTTTTTGGCTTTAGCCTGCAAGACTTTGACAATTTTGGAAATACTTGTTTTTAACCAAAATTTGCGGATCAGTTTAGCTAATTCATCATTTTTTTACTTATTATTACTAAGCAACCGCAACACGCGATAAGTTATTATGTGAATTTATGATTAAAAAATAAAAAAAACTTCTCGACAAGAAAGGTATATGTGAGTCACATAGGGCCGTAGTGCTTACAAGTGGAATAAAAGTGTCAAAAAGTCCGTAGAAAAAGATGCAGAACTTTTTTTCCATTTAAATTAACGGAAAAAATTTGTTAATTCAGCAAATAGGGGAATGTTGCACAAGTTGAGCAGGTTTCTAAGGTGGTATTACCTTCTTTGCGGGTAGACTACTGATTTTTTCTAGAATTTTTTTTTTAAATTATATTTATATAAGTTTATGTCAAGTTTATTTGTTTTACTTAATTGGTAGTCTAATTAATATTCTTTCGTTATTTTATTGTTAAAAAAATTTAGCAACCGCGTTTTAAATTTGTATCATTCAATATTTCAGAATTCATGTTAGAAAATATAAAGATACTTCAAATTTTATTTCATCTATTTGTTATGCCTATCTACTGCTAATCCATGGCTTACATTTAAAAAAAGGACTAGCTGTTGTCATGCTATTTAAGTTATAAAAGTTGTGGGTGATGGTGCTTAAGATAATATGTTTCAAGACGCTTAAGATGAGAAGTTAAAATCTATACAGAGTGTGCATTTTACATAATTATTCTCGGCCAGGATTTTTTTTTTGTAAAAAAGAGCGAAAATTTATAAAGAAAGTTTAGAGAAAAATAAGATTTTTTAATTTATGTTTTAGAGAAAGTATAAACTTATTATTGTTTTCATTTATGATTTGGATAAAGATTTCTTTATTCTATATTAGTTAAACTTTGATAATATTTAAAAATATGTAGAGAAGTAATTTAAATTTGAACGTAGTTTAAATTTTTAATAGAGTTTTAACACTAACATTTTACATGCCAACGTTGACATGTAACTACTGTTAATATTTAAAATAATTTTACATAACTCACACGTTTTACTAACTGAAATTATCGCTTTAATTTTTTTCTCTAAGTCACGATAGTGATTTCTGATTGGTTGATTTTTTTTTTTTTTTTCAGTCGATGTATGTACACTCACTGCGCCTATCCCTATATCAGTCGATGTTTGTAAATAATAAACATAAATGTAACTTTCAATATACAACAACAATAATTTTCAATAAAAAAATTGTTAAAAACATTTAAAAATATTTTTCATAAAGTTGTACTTGATACCGGAACTCCGTGAGTAATACATAATAAAGATACCACGATGCTAAACGCACACGCCTTAAATGAAATTCTTTTTAAATTTGTACCAATAAAACTTTCAAAATTAACCAATCATATTCGCAGCCGTGACTTTAAATAAACTAATTGGCGTGTTAGAAATCTTAATAAGTTTGCCACTGGCTCAATAACGGTTTTGTAACAATTTCAGTGAAGAATTAGAGAAAGAATTATTGATATATATATAAAAACAATATAGGAAAGACTTTTTGGGTTAACGATAATGGATGTACGGTGCTTAGCTTATCAGCTTGCTGATAAGCTAAGGTTGCCGCATTGGTTCAACAATGAAAAAAATTCTGCAGGAAAAAAATGGTTGTATACATTTATTAAATGCCATAGTAGTATCACCTTACGCAAACCTGAAGCTACTTCTTATGCACGAGCAAGTGGATTTAATTGTCCCTTTGTTGATAAATTTTTCAAATTACTGAATGACTTGTTGATTAAATACAATTTAGATCCAAGTAGAATATATAATTGTGACGAATCTTGTATGAAAATTGTTCACCAGCAATTTTCAAAAGTCTTGCTAAAAAAGGAAAACATCAAGTTGGAAGTCTCACCAGTGCAGAGCGTGGTAATTTGTGCAGTTAATGCAGTGGGAAACTATGTACCTCCTGTTTTTTTCTGTTTCCAAGAAAAAGAATGAATCCTTTTTTTCGGACAACGCACCAGCAATGTCAGTTGAGTTTGCACAAGAAAAAGGATGGATGAATATGGAACTATTCCATATGTATCTTGTACATTTTACTAAGTTTACAAATGTAACAAATAAAAAACCTGTACTTTTAATCCTAGATGGGCATTCCTCTCACACAAAATGTGTTAAGGTGTTAGATTATGCAACATAATCAGGAATTATAATGCTATCTTTACCTCTTCATACAACACACTGTCTTCAACCTTTAGATGTAGCTTTCTTTAAGCCTTTACAAACTTAATATGATCAGTTTATATCAACATGGTTAAAAACCCATACAGAACGTGTATTTTTAGAATTTTATATGTGTGAAGCTTTCTCACAAGCATATGGCAAGGCTGCAACAGTTGGAACTGTTCTTAATGGTTTTGCAAAGTGTAGTATCTGGCAATATAATCCTCATGTGTTAGCAGACTATGAATTTGCCCCATCAATAACAACAGATAGATCAGTTGACCAAGTGGCAGGTAATGATTTAACACTTTCTGGTATTGATGTGATAAATAGCAACAATGAATTTCAAAATGTTCAAGCCACATTAACTAGTATATCAGAAACTTGCAACTCATCAGAGGTTCTAACTAATGCAAATGTTGTACCATCTGATGTTTCATGCAATATGTTATTTTTATTATTTAATTGATTATTTGGTTGTTTTTTTTATCTTTATCAAACATATAAGATTGTCTTCATAGTGCAACTTAAGGATATATATTTTATTATTACTTTTTTTTATCTCTGCATGTATTTTTTATCTTTTTATTTAAGTACAGGGTTGGCTGTTGCTGACATCTTGTGCCTTCCAGCAGCACCAGTTAAAAATAAACAGGGTTTTAAAAGAAAAAGTGAAGGTTGACAAATATTAACATCAACTCCACATAAACAAAAGTTAATTGAAAAGCAAATTGAAATAAAAAAAAGAGTTAAAAAAAAAAAGTCTGGTACAACAAGTACATTAAAAGTTACAAAAAAATGCAGAAAAAGAGTTATCGATAATAGTAACTCTTATGAATTTCAAAATGTTCATTCACTCAAGCCACATCACTTACTATATCAGAAACCAACAACACATCTAAAGTTCTAATTAATCCAAAAACTGTACCACAAGCAAACCATGGTCATTGCAGTAAGTTAAGTTGCGCATTTTTAACATTTGTTAAATAACTTTTTTTCTTTATCAGACACTTTATTATTAAACATTAACAAATGTCTACATAGTGCAACATAAGGGTATGTTATTATAAATATTTTGCTTTTTTAATTATTCTTAGGTACTGGGTGTGTATTGTTGCTGAAATCTTGTCACTTCCATCACCCCCAGTTAAAAATAAATGAAATGTTACAAGATATGAAGGCTCCAAAATATTAAAATTAACCCCAGTCAAAGTTACAAAAAAAAGACACGTAAAAAGAGTATAGCGAAAACAGTAAAAAGCTGCAGCAAAAGAATTATCAACAACGATAATGCTCCCTCCATTGCATGTAGAAAAATGTAATTTTCTCGCTCGAAACAAAAATTCTTTTCTGTCCAAAAATTGGTATTTTGGTTTATCCTCCCCCGACTAATTGCCATATAGTGGCCACATTACCAAGGCTTGCAAAGACAGGTTCGGCTCCCCAAGGAGCGTCATAACCTGCTCCACGGACCAAAAGTAAAGTGAGTTTAGGAAGAAAGAAGATATGTTAGAGTGAAAGACAGAAGTAGTCGTGTTAGAAAGATAGCATAAAGAAAGCGGACAGGATTGCACTCGATGTTAGGAGGTGCAATAGGTTGAAATAGGTTCTTTCCAAAAATTGATTTATTAACTTGAATTCAACTCCTGTTACAAAGTTTTACATCCATTTATCTAATATATCTACCCACAAAATCAACATAACAAAAATACATAACTACAATTAAATTAATTAAAATAATAACACATAACTACAATTAAAATAATTAAAAACGAAACCACGTAATTGCCGTAGAATGTTCTAGAACTTTCTTTACCACGGTCTGTTACAAGCGCTATGTTTAGGTACGCATGCGTGAGAAAATGCGAAAAACTTTTGAAAATTTGTATAGGCATGAAATGCCTGTCAACCTGTCTTATGATTACTATATAAATATACTAATCATAATTTGTTTTTTCTTCTTTTAGAAAATTGTCGAGTTTGTTTTTAAAATTGCTCACGGAAGTAGCATTTACAACGTCATCTGGGAGGCAGTTCGATTTGTTGATTACTCGTAAGGTGAAAAAGTAGTGACGAGAAGCTAGACGAGAATAAGATTTTTCTACTTTAAATGAATGTCCTCTTGTAATAGAATTTATAATTGTTTTTGGAAAGATCGTTTGACAGTTGTAGTAGTTGTTTAGCCATTTATAGACGTTTATTAAATCTCCCCGGATTAGTCTGTATCTTATGGTTGTCATATTAATTTTTAATAGTCTTTGGTGATATGTTAGACTTTTTAATCCATGAACTGATTTAGATGCTCTTCTGAGTATATTTTCAACTTGCCGTTTGTCTTTCAGTAGACGAGGGTTATATAAAGAACCACAATATTCTAAATATGGTCGTACTAGTGCTGAAAACAGTCTTTTAAAACAAAATGAATTTAGATAAGAGAAAGATCTTTTTATTAGAAATAGCATCTGCATTGCCCTATTAACTTGAGTAGAGGTATGTTTAGAAAATAGCAAGTTATTATCGATATGTACTCCGAGGTCAGTTTCTGAGTTGGTAGATTTGATATCAATCCTTGTTTTCTTCACTGGATCGTACATAGAATAGACAAGATGTTTATTTTTATGACCTAGGTGTAAAACTGAACATTTGTCTATATTAAATTTCATCCCCCATTTAGTTGCCCAGTCAACCAAGATATCAATATCATTTTGAAGTACGGTGTGTGAATGCAAATTAGTAATAGGGTAAAATAGTTTTGTATCGTCAGCAAAAAGTGCTGCATTTGAAGTTATTATATTGGGAATATCGTTAACGTATATAATGAATAATAGAGCTAAGAGAACAGAACGTTGGGGAACTCCACTTTTTACTGATACCCAATCAGAGTAATTACCATTTATCATTACTCTTTGTCTTCGATTTGTGAGAAAGTTTCTTATCCAAAAGAGAATTGGACCATTAATCCCATAGGCTTTTAGTTTCAAAAGAAGATAGTCGTGTGGGACTTTGTCAAATGCTTATTCAAAGTCAAGATAAATATAATCGACGGGAAGACCTTTATCTAAATTAAGTGTCCGTGTATTGATTACAGTTAGAAGATTTGTTTCACAAGAGCGCCCTGGATAAAAACCGTGTTGACTAGGAGTTAGTAGATTATTTTTTAAAAGATGAATAAAAATATGTTTTTGTATTATTTTTTCAAATATTTTGACTATAGTGCATGCTAAACTACTGGGTCTATAGTTGGTAACTAGTTTCTTGTCTCCTTTTTTGAAAATTGGAATGATATTTGCATCTTTCCAGATTTGTGGTAATGTACTAGTTTGAAGTACCTTAGTATAAATAATAGAAAGATGTTTAGAGATTTGGTGATGTGTTTCTTTTAATATTTTGGGATGTATCTCATCTGGACCCGGTGATTTAAATGACTTTATAGACAGAAGATGAGATGCAATGTTTTCAGGAGATAGATCAAGATCATTAGAGATTTGACTGGGACAAATAAAAGATAAGTTAAAACTTGGAACAACCAATGTATCATTATCAGAAAAATTACTAGCAAAGTAATTATTGAAGCATTGAGCCTTTTCAAGATCGGTGGTAGCAACTATCTTATTGTGGACTATTTCAGGAATGAGATTTTTTATAAGATTTTTTTATTTTATGAATGAAAAAAAAGCTTTAGGATTTTTGTTGATGTTTTTAGCAATTTCTTTTTCAAAACTTTTTATAGCATTTCTGCAAGCTGCTTTAGTTCTGTTACGCGCTCGACAATAGTCAAAGTAAGTTTTACCATTCCGTTTATGAATGTAGTCTTGATATTTAATTTGTTTATTTCTTATTTCTTCTGCTACTTGGGCGGTTATCCACTGTGAACGCTTTTTAGGTTTTGTTGAGGATTTTGGAACATTTTTTTTAATAGTGTATTTTAATATATTATATGGCAAACGTGTTATTTGCTATTTGATCTCTAAAAACTAAATGTTGTAGCCTTATTTATAAGTAGATCAGTATCTTATTACAAAAATTTCACAAAAATATAAATGAAAAAAGGATAACAAATATCTTAGAAAACTTAAACTTTGTTTTCAATTAACAACCTTTTAGTGTAACTCATAGATTTGTTTATTTACTTGAAATCAATTTTCTTAAAATCTGACTG